CCTGGAGACCGCCACCCACCTCCTGTTCAAATGGGCGGCGACTCCCTGGACTCAGCTCGGCACAGTCGCCCCCCCCCCCAGCCAGGTGTGTTTGAAGGGTGGTTTGTTTTTGTTGGCGGTTCGTGTTCCAGACGGGTGATTGAAGAACTTTCGAGGGTCTATTGGAGCGTTGCGCTTTGCAGCCCCGACCAGGAGCTCTTGGCCTGAGCCTCTAGGCCTGCGTGGGCCCACATGCCCCAGACCCCCCAGGCGGGTGAATGTTGTGCTTTCCTCGCTGGGGTCCAGCCCGTGGAGGGTCCCAGCACGATGATTCCTGAGTGCCAACATGCTGTGAACTCCTTCGCGCAGACGCGCGCTGCCCAGCTCAGCGACAATAAGGCCCACTCATGCCACATGTTACAAGCGCGCAGCCGAGGGTTTCAAGTAGTTGAGTTCCCTTTCTCATCTTCGATCACACCAATCGGTCGAAGATGAGTCCATTTCGAGCGAGCAGCGATTTCGGAGGCGCGGGAACGACCAAGTCGATCAGTTGGCCAAGCGAGCGCTCGCCCGTCACCCCTCGGACAGGGACCTCGAGGAGGAAACCCAGCGGGATATTTAATTTGCACGTGTTTTTTTACATTCTGGCTACGCACCGTTTGCCCAAGTTTTCTCCGCTGAGAGAGTTTCGCGAGGTAGAGTACGCACGTCCTCCCAAGCCAGACATATCCCCAAAGGGAAAGCACGATTGGTTTCACTATGGTGCTTTCTGGAAGTGCTCGAACTGTTTGCAAGCCAGCTCCAAAAAGTGGCCGTCTAAACCTGTTGTTCTTCTCTGTCCTGGCCAGCGTGAGCTGCCGTTAGTCGAAATTCTAAGTTTTGGCCGTGCTTGTATTGCTCTGGATTGTTCTGATGGAGCAGTTTTTTCATTTGTACCTCCTGCAAGGTTTACAGCTCTCGCGGGGGGGCACAAGGGCTTGCGAGAAAAATGCCGAGACAAACCCGCGAGCTTCGGCAAAAGGGTTTGGTCCATGGTCAGCAAAGGGGGGCACCCCAAGCGGGCTGCCGTTTCCGTCGAATGTGCCCTCTGGCCAGCGGACCTGGGCAATATCCACCGTGGCCCGCGCAGACGCATTCGCCCGTCAGGCCCCCGTCCCGGCACGGACTCGGACGACGAAGCCAGACAGCAGGATATAGCAAAGGCTTTGGCGCAGTCTCTGGAGCTCAGTTCGGTCGCCCGTCGCCACGCCTCCCTCTCGCAAGCCGAGGCGTCGGGCCAGATAGGCGCGCAGCAGCGAGACCAAGTGTCCTCGGGCGGCTCGGACTAGCTTCTCTCTCATTTTGTGCGCCGACATTTTTGTCATCAATTAACGGGGCTGACCCACGCCAGGGATGATGCTTGTTGACCGCCCTGGCGTTATTTACACCAGGGGTGCGCTTGGCCGAGTCGTCCTGGCGTCGCCTGAGTTTGGGGATGATTCGTTTATGTGCGTGTGCGCGGAGTTCGGCACGCGCATCAGGCGCCCCGCCTGCGGGGGAAGGAGCGCCGCACGTGCGTTAGTACTCAATCGCGGGCTTGGCACGAGGGCGGTTCCTCAGCGGTCCGCCCTGACCGTTGATTTGCCCCAGGTCTCGCTCATCGCCCTGGCTTTCTTTACACCAGGGGTGAGCTTTGCGTTGGCCGTGGCGTTCTTACGCCATTATTTAATCGCTTCGCTCATTCCGCCGGCCCATAACTATTGTCGCACCGTTGTGGGCTAGCCGAGTTTTGGGGCCTCTTGGGGGCCGTTTTTGGGCCTCTTGGGGCCTCTTTTGGCCTCTTGGGCGCCTCTTGGGGCGTCTTGGGGGCCTCTTGGGGGCCTCTTGGGGCCTTTTTGGGGCCTCCTGGGCGCCTTCTGGGGCGGAGGGCTCGATTTTTCAGTTCTCGCTTCTCCTCTTGAGCCCCTCTTGGGCCCGTCTTGGGGCCTCTTGGTCCGTCTTGGGCGGCACTTGGGCCGTCTTGGGGGCCCTCCTGGGCCGTCTTGGGGGCCCTCCTGCATGGGCCGTTCCGGGGCCGTCTTGGGAGCCTCGTGGGCCGTCTTGGAGCGGTCTTGGGGGCCTCTTGGGCCGTCTTGGAGCGTCCGGAAGCCGAAAAAGCCAGAACGCAAAAAACATAAAAAAACAATGAAAATCAACGATTTTGGCATCTTGGGGCCCTCTTGGGAGGCCTCTTGGAAGGCCGTTGGGGCGTCTTGGAGGCCTCTTGGGCTGTCTTGGGGCCCTGTTGGGCGTCTTCGGGCGATCTTTGGCCGTCTCGGGGCCCTCTTGGACCGTCTTGGAGGCTTCTTGGGGACCTCTTGGCCCGTCCTGGGGCCGTGTAACAGGGCTCCGGCATCTCTGGCCCGACCTTGCCGGGACCTTGCCGGGGACTTGCCGGGACCTTGCCGGGGACCGGGACCTTGCCGGGGTACTTTTCGTCCGGGGACCCCCAGGGGCCGCCCCGCGCGCGCGAACTAGAAATACTGTCAACCAGGTACCGGAGATCTTAGCACGCCCTGGCCCGTTGGGCCGGCGAATGTTCTTGTTGTGTGTGCATGCGCGTGCTGCACGTGTGTCAGGCACCCCAGTTGTGGGGGAGGGTGCGCTGCGCGCGTGGACCTAGTGTGGGGGGGGCGGGGCAGGTTACGCAGCCTGCCGTGGAACCCGAGCCTTGGGGTCCCCTCTTTCTGGTCCGCCCTGTCCATCTGCTACGCCTCAGGTTTTGCTCATCTTCGTCCTGGCGTTCTTTACACCAGGGATGTGCCTGCTTTGGCCGTGGCGTTCGTTACTTTTGGCTTTCTTGCGCGTGTGTGTGTGTGTGCGCGTGCTGCACGAGTGTCAGGCACCCCAGTCGTGGGGGAAGGTGCACCGCACGTGTGGAGCGGCCTACCCTGTGTGCCTTGCACGGGGGTGGGATTGTTGTCCGCCCCGACCGATGCTATGCCACTGGCGTGGGTATTTTTCCTGTCCAGGTCGCCTGGGGTCGTTAGGGGGGAGGGCTTCGTACAGGCGGGGGGCGCAGGTTACGCAGCCTGCCTTGGAACCCGAGCCTCGGGGTTCCCCCTGCCGCCGGTGCCGCCCCCCTCCCCCCCACCTCCTTTTCTTTTTCCCTCTTTGGGTAGTTTGTCCTTGGAGCACGGCTTGGGTTGTCCTTTTCGGGCCCCCTGGCGACCCTTGCACAAGGATTTCCAGTGGGGACCTCGGGCGCTGGGGCGGTCTGGGAATCCAGCCGCCCCGCCCGTCGCTTACCCCGCTCTCCTTCTCCCCCATTGAGGGATGGAGACTAGCTCCCTGGTCGCAATGCCGTCCGAGGAGCTGGTGTTTTAGCGCCAAAAGTGCGTCTGCTGAGGGGTCACCCCCCTCAGCTGCACCAGAACCCTTACCTCTGGATCGCCTCTCCAGTGGCGTTGAAACTCTCAGGGGTTGAAACGAAACAAAAACTTGCACTGAACAGCGTAATCAGGGCCGTCGCGAACTCTAGGACGGCGTCGTCGTAGTCCTCGTTCGCATCGAGCCTGTCGAGGATAATCGTATTCAAGGCCTCGAGCCTTGCTGAGACCTACTCTTTGTAGGCATCGACCTCGGAGTCGGTCGGATGTCTAAGGTCCAGGCGGCGCCATCCAGCGAGGATGTTGACGAGCAGTCTTCGGCAGAGCAGGACGGATGTGAAGCACGTCCTTCGCCGACCTATACTCGTCGCCGCCCTTGAGGTCCAACTCCGATTGCGAGGAGCTCGATGCCATCTCCTGGGGCTTGGCAGGGCTCAGGATGCCACGAGACGGCGAGGTTTCGCGGTGTGCAAGAGCAGTTTTGCCCTTGTCCTTGTCTTTGCCCTTGCCACGGGCAGCAGCACGATCGCGAGGAGGCGGTGCACTGCCAGACCTGCGGGGAGGAGGACGTCTCCACGGAGGCGGCTCGGGCTTCATATTACCACACTGGTGGCAGTCCACTCGCTCGTGCCAGTTCGAGCAGTAGCAGACACCACCGGACCATGGGGATCCTGGTGGCGACCACGTCACAGCAGGCTTGGTCATCGCTCCTGGCCGAACGAGACCACGAGGCTGTCGATTGTGATGACGTTGCAGCAACTTCATAGCCGCCGCAAGGCGGAGAGGCACACGGGCGTGAGCACGACTCGCCCTGGCCCTCCGGTGCCAGCCCTCCTCGCGTGGTGGTGGGGGTCAGCACGGCCGCGCGGCAGCGCAATGGCGGGCTGCGGACAGACGGCGCGTCTAGCAGCTGTCCCGAAAGTGAGGGGCCGCTACCTGGTAGCACCCAGGCCCCTCGAGCCGGGACGGCGGCTCGGGAGAAGAGAGGGAGGGAGGAGGAGCAGGAGGGAGGAGGGAGGGATAAAGGAGGGAGAAAGGAGGGGGAGGGAGGAGGATGACAAACGCCACAACTTCATGCGTAGGTTGGTATAACGAAAAAGAGGAGGAGGAGGAGGAGGAGGAGGAGGAGGAGGGGGAGGAGGAGGAGGAGGAGGCGGAGGAGGAGGAGGAGGAGGAGGAGGAGGAAAAGGAGGGAGGAGCAGCAGGAGGAGGAGGAGGAGGAGGAGCAGGAGCAGGGCAGGAAGGGAGGAGGAGGGGGGAGGAGGAGGGGGGGGAGGAGGCGCAGGAGGAGGGGAGGAGGAGGAGGAGGAGGAGGAGGATGAGGAGCAGGAGAAGGAAAAAAGGAGGAGGAGGAGGAGGAGGAGGAGGAGGAGGAAGAAGAAGAGGAGGAGCAGGAGGTAAAACGGAGAGAGAAGGGAGGGAGAAGGCAGGAAGAAGCGATGAGGAGGGAGACGGGACGGAGAACGGGAAAGTCAGGGTGGAGGAGGAAGAGGAAGAGAGAGGAGGAGGAGGAAGAGGAGGAGGAGGAGGAGGGAGGAGGAGGGAGGAGGGAGGAGGAGGAGGAGGAGGAGGAGGAGAGGAGGAGGAGGAGGGAGGAGGAGGAGGAGGAAGGGAGGAAGGGAGGAGAGAGAAGCGAGGAGGAGGGAGGGCCCCTTTCCCCCCCCCCCCCCCGAGGACGCGGACCCGTTCCTCGCCTCCGGCGCCGGCGCCTCGCAGGCCCCGTGGGCGAGGAGCGCGGCGGCGACGCACGAGGCCCGGCCAGCGGACGGACCCCGACGTCTGCAGGAGGGAGAGGGAGGGGCAGGAGGGGGAGGAGCAGGAGTGGGAGGAGGAGGAGGAGGAGGAGGAGGAGGAGGAGGAGGAGGAGGAGGAGGAGGAGGAGGAGGAGGAGGAGGAGCAGGAGCGGAGGAAGCAGGAGGAGAGGGAGGAGGAGGAGGAGGAGGAGGAGGAGGAGGAGGAGGGGATAGGAGGAGGAGGAGGAGGAGGAGGAGGAGGAGGAGGAGGAGGAGGAGGAGGAGGGGATGTGGACAAGGGCGAGAAGCAAGGCGAGGAGGAGGAGGAGGAGCAGGAGGAGGAGGAGGAGGAGGAGGAGGAGGAGGAGGAGGAGGAAGGAGGGGGTGGCTCCCAAACCTCTAGGCCTCCCAAGTTGAGGAAACAACATGTAGATCAAGGCGCGTGGGTCAGCGAGGGGTCTCACTTCAGTGCAGGATCGGCTCGTTCCGCCACCAGATCGGGCGGCACGGGCGCCATCCCTCGGGGTTATCTTCCCCGATCCATGGATCTGATGAGCGCGCATCAGCTCTACGTATCCCTAGTCCATGTTAGCGTGCGCCTGGCACATGGGCTCCAGATAGATGTACTTGTTTGGCTATGGGTGTTCCATAGTTCCAGAGTATGGGAACCCCAAGAAGGCGCTCGGAAAAGGGGCACTCAGCGAGGGTCGTTGGGTTTCCTATACGTCGCGGGCCTTTTAGCGAAACCCAAAGACCCTCGCAGAGTGGCAATTGTCCGAGGGTTTATGGGTTGGGCCTCGGGGGGTCTCGGAGGACTCTAGAGTCCGCGCCCGAGGCGGGGTATACCAATTCGCCGGCCCAACGGGCCAGGGCGTGCTAAGATCTCCGGTACCTGGTTGACAGTATTTCTAGTTCGCGCGCGCGGGGCGGCCCCTGGGGTCCCCGGACGAAAAGTACCCCGGCAAGGTCCCGGCAAGTCCCCGGCAAGGTCCCGGCAAGTCCCCGGCAAGGTCCCGGCAAGGTCGGGCCAGAGATGCCGGAGCCCTGTTACAGGGGCCCAGGACGGGCCAAGAGGTCCCCAAGAAGCCTCCAAGACGTTCCAAGAGGGCCCCGAGACGGCCAAAGATCGCCCGAAGACGCCCAACAGGGCCCCAAGACAGCCCAAGAGGCCTCCAAGACGCCCCAAGGGCCTTCCAAGAGGCCTCCGAAGAGGGCCCCAAGAGGCCAAAATCGTTGATTTTCATTGTTTTGTTTCGATGTTTTTTGCCTTCTAGCTTTTTCGGCTTCCGGACGCTCCAAGACGGCCCAAGAGGCCCCCAAGACCGCTCCAAGACGGCCCACGAGGCTCCCAAGACGGCCCCGGAACGGCCCAGGAGGGCCCCCAAGACGGCCCAAGTGCCGCCCAAGACGGACCAAGAGGCCCCAAGACGGGCCCAAGAGGGGCTCAAGAGGGGAACCGAGAACTGAAAAATCGAGCCCTCCGCCCCAGAAGGCGCCCAGGAGGCCCCAAAAAGGCCCCAAGAGGCCCCCAAGAGGCCCCCAAGACGCCCCAAGAGGCGCCCAAGAGGCCCAAAAGAGGCCCCAAGAGGCCCCAAAACGGCCCCCAAGAGGCCCCAAAACTCGGCTAGCCCACAACGGTGCGACAATATGGGCCGGCGGAATGAGCGAAGCGATTAAATATTCTTTATTTGCTTACCTAAACATGGGAAGCCCACCGCCCAGCGGTAGCCCGAGTAGATGGTGTTGGAAGATCGCGCCGCATCGCCGATGCATCGCCGATGCGGCTCGATATGGAGCCCCATTTTCTCCACGCTAACTTCGCCGATGCATCAGCGATGCGGCGCGATCCTCCGACCCCATCTACTCGGGGCCAAGAACCAGGACACTGCTGACCAGGATTTAAACACATTCACCTGGGCAGAGCGAAAAATGGAGAATTCGAAGGAGGAAAATCGGCGTGAACATAAACTGTTAGAGCTCCGCGCGGATCTCTTGGATCGGAGCTGGGGGGGCCCTGGCGGCGCCTCTGGCGCCGCCCCAGGCGCGCCCCGTGCGCCAGGGAGGGGGCCGATCCAAGAAATCCGCGCAGACCCCCAAACAATTCGGTGTATGCCGTGTTCTGTTCTTTTATAGTTGGGGCTTTGACACATCCACTTGAGCGACGGAAGAAAACGGGGTCGACGGCGTGGACATGCGAGCGTACGTAAGCTTCCCACATAAGGTCGCGCTTGAGCGCCCTCTTCTCCACGCGGTGTGCCATGGTGGCGACCCACGTCAGCCGCCGCGTAGGGTCGCCGTGCCGTTTCGCGTAAGCTCAGTGTTTTTCCATTGCCCACTTGGGCAGAGCGAAGATTGGAGAGTGTCTCGGCCCGCGGCTACAGTTTTTGGGAGGCTCGGTTTCCCGTTTGGGGGGCCCCCTGGTTTATCAAAGTCCGCATTTGGGGGGCCCTGATTCCAGGGAGGGCCTGATTCCAGTGGACCCCGATCCGGCCCACACCCCGATCCGATCCGATGTTATCCCAATATGTTGCTGACTGATCCTTCTACCCCAAACGTTGGGGAGTGATCACCAAGGGGGACACAGTCAACACTGATAGTAAGGGTGAGCGACTGTCCAAGATTTCCCGTGCATCCTTTGCCTTCATCCCATCCTTGGCCACGTTCGTTGGTCGCGACCCGCTCTAAAAGTGTCGGCATGGCTTTCCAAGGCCCTTGCATCCTTCTCGTGCGTCCTTCCTTACTCTCGGTTTTGACTGCATCGTGCCCGGGGCCATGACGTCTCGCCAGATGTCATGGCCCCCTCTTCTTCTGCCAACACGACCCTTTTGCCCCCCTCCCGGGCCAGGCACGTGCCTCGGGCCATGGTCTGCGGGGACGCCCCCGGCCTTCCAGGAGGACCCGATCCGACGCCCGTTCCGATTCGGTCTGGATTCCCGGTTCGGTGCTGACTGGTCTTGCACCCCCAGGCTCCCAGGCAATGCCAGGGGGGAATGGGCTCAGGGGAGGTGCATCGGCCCCGAATCGCCCATTCATCGCCGATAGGAGCCCGATAGCCCGCCCTGCCCAGGTGCGGGCGGGTTTGCGATTGAGGGCCCGTCGCCGACCTGTCGGCGATGTATCGCCGATTCCAAGTCGATGGTACCCCCCTGGGCCAGTTGTTTTCAAGCCAAGCGCTTCCAAGGGACCGGTGGAAGCCGACAATTCCGTCGTGCTGTTTTTCTCGTCGAGAGGAGGTCTGTGTTCCAGGGTCGAGATCTTCGACCCCCTAGCCCCAGTGCCGCGTCTGAGGGCATTCTGATCTCCCGGTGGGAAATCTACATGGCCTCGGACCTGCCCATGGGAGCGCTTTGGCCAGGACTTTCAGGCAGAACTTGGCTATGGCCACGAGGGCGTCCCAGGAGGCCCAGGCACGCCCGAGGGCCCTGATCCTCGAACCTCGCTGCGCGACTCTTGCCGCTCTGCACTGCTTCCAGTCCCTTTGAATTTCTCCTCCCCCCTCTAGCCAAGAGGACGAGGCGGCCGCCCAGAATTATCCCAACTCACACGAAAAGGAGGAGGAGCAGGGGGAGGTGGAAGAAGAAGGAGAAGAAGAATAATAAGAGAAGAAGAGGAGGAGGAGGAAGAGGAGGGGGAGAGCAAGAGGAGGAGAAGGAATATGAGGAGGGGAGAAGGGAGGAGGAAGGAGGAAACGGGATGATTTGGACGAGGACGACCCCACCTCTGGGCCCCCAGCCCGCCGGTCGCCACCCGCCCCGCGAGCTGGCGGCGAGGGTGGCGGATGGAGGAGGGAAGGTGGCAGGGGGGACGTAAATGAGGAGGAGGAGGCGGAGGAGAAAGGGGAGGAGGAGGGGGAGGGGAGACCGTAATTATGAGGGCCTGGGGGGTCTCAGTGTTTGTGATGTTGAGGAGACGTGGGAGAGAAAGACTGACTTCTGGGAAGCCTTCAACGCAGAGGGACATGCTCAGGAAGGGGCGTCCTGCCACGAGCGAGGCTCCTGGCCCGTCTTACATTCCCGACGGAGACTGCCAAGCTCCCGTGCAGAATTTGGCAAGGCAACCGAAATCCACCCGGATTGCGGTGCTTGATTTGGCGCAGTTGCCGCCAAACACAGCGGCACCATTCTTCGTCGATTTCGGCATCCTTCCTGATCTATCTGGCGCGCGTCAGAGGCGCGGAGCCGGTTCGACGAAGTCGGAGTTTCGTGCCGGTCGAGGGGGTCCATCTTCAGTCGCCAGATGCGCGGTTACGCCGCTTGACAATCCGCTATGGCGATGGGAATGTCAGACATGGTTCAACCTCGACCCCACTGGACCGTTCAAGGATTTGTTTAACAAGACCTCATTGAATCCAACCAAAACGCTGCTCTCGATCGCCCGGGTGCTTTCCACTCATGGAACCTCGTGCGCGTCGTCCTACAAAATTACCGTGCAGGGCGGATTTTCGAAGCAGCCGGCCGGGCGCGTCAGCCGAGTTGCGAGAGACATATGCGCCCGCGTGGCCCAGGGAGAGCAGAATGAGTTCAAGTGGAAGCCTGGCTCGCTAATCGATGCGGGCGAAGTCCCAATGCGAGTCCCCACGCCCCCTGCCCGACGACGCGCTGCGAGAAGTCGCGCGGCAGCCACCTTCGGGCGCTACAGGCTCTCGCATCGTCGCTTAATGTGCGTCTGTCCTCGCGGCAGCCGCGACCCGGCTACGTTTTCCGAGCTTCCCGGGCGCGCGCGAGGTAGGGGCCAGCGGCTGTCAGTTGGGCGCAGAAGAATGCGATGACATCATGTCATGAGTGCTCGTGCCTGGGAACTTCATCCCGTCGACGGACGGGGCGCGCGCGCACCAGTCAGTGGCGCCTCTGGGCCGTTGTTGGTGTCGACCTGCCAGGCTTCAGCGACACGCGACACAAGGAACACTGCAAGCACCTGAATTGGTCGCCAGGCATCGTGTCGCACGACGGCGAGCAGTGGGCAGTGCAGGACTCAGTCCGAGCGGTGATCCCAGGTGGCGTGACGGAGATCATTTGTCTC